GATGACAACAAATATTTGACCAAAATGGTCGATAAATAATTCAACAAAATATTTATTTATTATAAAAATATTTTTTTTTTTCCCATGGAAAAAAACGAACTTACTTTCTGAACAACCCAATATGTGTGGTGGTGACAGAACATTTTGCTTTTAATATATATTGTACACAGATAGATTAAAATTACTAAAAATAATATAAAAACTAAAACTATATATGTATCCTGTACATAACCAAAGGTTATTATTCAAAAATCAAACTTAAAGAATAGTTGTTAGGAAAGCAAATGAACAGCCATCTCTTCAACCACAAGTCTGAGTCAAAAGTGAAGTCTTTTTGTTTCCTATCCCTACACAAATACACATCTTTCCCTTTTTAACACTTTCCACAAATTTATGCCAAGTCCACAGAGGAAGTTAACAGGTGGTCGTTTTGAGTGAAAAATTGTAGACCCCATCAGTGGCCTGGTGTGACCTACTAACACAGTTTCTTTGTAAAGTGTTGGTTCCAGTTTTGATGGAATTGAGCATTTTGCTTTTAATATATATACAGATTTTCTATAAAAATGATCAATCTAAATAAAAAAATAATATAATAAAATTTCAACTATTGTTCTGATTTTCAAAAAACCATAATAGTGCAGGCTAAAAACATAACATAGATTAATAGTAAATCACTGTTTTAGAGAAAAATTATAAATCATCAACATAATAGAGCCAAAACTATATGAAATTCTGAAATACTCTGTATATGACTCTTGCATAACTGATGATGAGAGTTATCATTTGTAAGAGCCAACAAAAAATAATCTGTTATGTTAAACTATCCCATTCTGCCTAATGTTTGTTATTTTCAGCAAATTTCTTTAAAAAATCTGTGAATTTACACTATGTGTTTAATAAATTACATATACATAAAAACTAAGCTTATTACTAATTATTTTCCTATTACAAAAATTACAAAAATGTCAGTTCTATCTAACAAAAATTGTGCATCAAGCATCATCACCTATTATAATTAAAAACTTTGAACATTTTCTTTGATTTGATACTTTGATTACTGAATACTTTGAAAATTACATATAGTTTCAATAAAAAGAGAATGCATCATCAAAATATAAGAAACTATAATTGAATAAAAGATACTGATTACAGTACATAAAATATTTTAAATTCTAATATTTAAAATCTTAATTACCAAACATTTCTATGAGAAGCAATTAGTAATTCAAAATCAGGTCCAAAGGTTTGCAATGCATCAACAAGCAATAAACTATGAACACATAATGTCATTGATGTATCATGTGGACGTTTAGAAAAACTACTTTTAACTCCAGTTACTTGTAATTCTGCTATTGACCTTTCTGAAATATAAAAAAAGAAAAGAAAGTCAAAAAAAAAATTAAGAATTAAAAAAAAAATACTTTAAAAATTTTCTTATAAATTTAATAGATAATATAAAATTACAATTTCTCTTGTTATCTCTTAAAATTATAAATTAAAAATAGGGCAGAATAAAATATATATTAGAGTAAATATTAAAAAACTTTCATTTACAGAACAGATGAAGATAAAAGCTTACAAAAACTGAAAGTGGAATAATAAATAAGCATATGTACATACATAAAGACATGAAGTGTTTAGCTGACAGAAAAGAGGGTAAGGGAAAGAGGAGGGGGAAGAAGGAGGGAGAGGAGATGGACAGTAGAGAAAGGTAGGATCCCTCTGAATGAGAAAGGTAGGATCCCTCTGAATGGCATACGTATGACTACAGTACCCTCTATGTTTGATGTTAGCATGCAGTTTTTAGACTGCAAGGCTGTAGTCCCCCAAAAGGTCTAAAAGAAAACCTGAGTGTAGCAAACACCAATAATTGAGTGCCGCCACAAATAGCTAAGTGTAGAAGTTAGTGCCAAGTGGCTGTTAGTAGGAAGATTTACATCTACTTATAATCTAATACTAATAAAACTAAACGTGATCACGAATCTTAATATTACTTAACAGCTAGACAGACAGCAGCAGCAGCAATATATTAAATTCCAGAAATATTTAATTGAAAAAACAAATGTTTTCAACCTTCTTGATAAGTCTGCTTCAGGTCTTATACACTGCGTTACATAAATTAATGTTCATTATTTTATGTAATGCAGTGTATAAGACCAATTTTATTTTCCATATTTTGTAATTAAATATACAAAATATAGAAAATAAGTATTATATAAAATAGCATTTGAATGAGTTGTTAAGCGAGCATTAACCGTCTAGCTATAAGATTGATACGGCCCGTACACAGACTTTAAAATTACCAAAAAAGGGCAAACATTATTTTAAATGTTTTAAGTAATAATAATGTACATGAAGTAGTTGTTGATAATAATAATGTATAAATAATTCTAGACTGTAACACTAATAAATTATTTCGCTTCAAACTTGATATTATTACTATTTTACATCAAAATATTAAAAATAATACAAATTAAAATAATACCTCGGCTTTGAACTTCAAAAGATACTTCATCAATTCCAAACCACATTAGCAATAATAAAGTTTCTTGCATAGGTTGTTCATCAAATTCATTTAACATTGATTCTCTATAAATGGAATGCAATTTATACATATTTATACATTAATTCATATAATGTCTCTCTTTTCAAAAATTATATCATAATTAAACTATTAAAAAATTTATAAAATATGAAAAAGATCGGAAGGAACATTACTCTATTTAAGAACAAATTCATTGTACTGTACTTAATTTCTGAATTATATAAAAATTTATTTATCAATTTTAATTACTTAGTAGTTGATTCTTCCAATTCACTTATCACACTTAGATTTTTCATTGTTGTATTTGCTAAATTAAAGTTAGGAGATGATGTTTTAATTGGTTTTGGATCCAAATTTAATGGAGTGCTAATAATATCCAAACATGTTTTCAGACAATCTATCTAAATTTAAAAAACAACAACATTAACACAGTAGTAGAAAATCTAAAATTCATAACATATTTTTATATATAATAAGACCTAAAATATAAAATATTTGATCTAGCAGAAAATATGAGAAAAAAATTCATTTAAAATCTATAATTTTCTATTATTATTTAAATATAACAATATTTCAAATAAGTTAAAACAAAAAGAAAAATAAAACAATAATACAAAATATTACAACTATTTAAAAATACTTTTCAATGTTAGTGATAATTTTAGTTTCAGATTCAAAAACATTCAAAAAAATCAAAGACTGAATATTCTAATTGTGCACTAAATGACTGTAAAAAAGTATAGCAAAAGCATGTCAGCCATACTGTTTCTGTACTCTTTTGTAGATATCTATCTGGTGTTCACTCCATGATTATTTGCAGTAAGACAAGAGATGAGCAAAAGAGCATTATGGTGAGCATTGACCACTTGAGAATGAACCAAAAGACTTTGTTGAATGCTTTGCAATAAACTGATATCATGAATAATTTTTTGAAAATGCCCTTCCAGATGAAACCATTTAAAATTACACTTTATCTTAATTGATGCCATACAATTTTTACCATATTCTCTTCTTGAAAATGAAAGAATTTTGTATTTTATATAATATATAAAATTCTATCAAATTTATTACAGGAAAAATTCTTCATTTAAATCATATTATAGTAGTAATATTTCTGTAAGGAAAGACTAATAAAAAGTTTAATAGTACTGTTAAACATTACAGAACTGCATTATATATTAATATTACAAATTTTCCCTACAGTTTAATAACTTACAACTTAATAAAAATAATCTTCGTACTAATTTAATTAAATTTAAACTGAATACAAGTATTCCTCAACTTTCAGATGCTTGCTCATTTGTACGTTACTTTGGTGCTTCTAAATCACCTCTTGCATACTAAATTATAAAAATTCAGCAAACAAAAATAAATTTTAAAATATTGTGCAATGGTACTTTAAGCAGTTGACTTTGATATCATCAAATTTTAAAACTCACTTTAAAAAATTTTTTTCATTTTCTATTTAAACCAAACTTTAAATATAAAACATTAACAATGATTTAAAATGATTTAAAACAGTGACATTAACAATGATTTAAAATGTTAACATTTTAAATAATGTTTTAGTCATTTATTTGCTGTAAAAATTCAAAACTTTCCTACTTTAATAAGAGATTTTGTAAATTTTCTTTCTAGCTTTCCAGGAAGAAATTTCCTTCAAATAAGCAAGTTTATTGCCAGACTTTGGTACTGTACATATTTTTAGGAGCACTGCTTTATATTTTAATACATTTGATTTACAATATTAATAAATGTAAATTACCTTTTTCTCACTGACATGGACAACCAATTTTGGAAGTTTTCCATATACTGTGATATTTGGCCAATTAGGATTTTTTGTTGATATCAACTGTCTAAATTTGAAAAGACAAATAAATATATTAAGGTTTCCTGTATTAAATTCATTTTTTTCATCATTTAAGCAATATACTTTATCATTTTGTATTCTCTGACATGAAATTATCATTCTGTAAGACAACTTAAGACTAAATTTTTCAATTCTCTAAAATTTGAAACTAAAAAAATAAACTATTATAATAAATAAATAAGTCTTTAGAACTTGTCTTAATATTAAAATATACAAATATTACACAGAATTTCAAACTAACTGAAAACTACTTTTAAATAAATAATTTTTAGAGATAAAGTTAAAATTAATAATGAAGACCATTAATTATACTAATGATTGCAACATTTGTTTTCTTACTGTTTCCAGATTTAGAATAATTAGCCTTTCTAATTCTACAACTTCTTAGTGCATGCTATATAAGGACATGTGTATCACAAAATTTTAAATATAGAAATTAAGAAATTTTTAAATTATATAGCAATATTCCTTGAATGCCAAGTGACAATTACGATAATTAACCAGAATAATATTCTTTTTTTTTTCTTTTTTAAAGGCTTACTTTTCAAAAGTTTTATTTTCAATTCATTAAAAATTTATATAATGATAGCAACTATTTGTGTTGATTATTGTATATCTTGGCACTATATTATGTCAATCATGCTCTTTTGTTACAAATATAAATATTCAGTGATGTTCACAAGATTTTTTTTCCTAAATAAACAATTGATGATAATGCAGAATTTCTAAAATCTGGGTGAGATTCTAAACCTAAATTCAAATATTCTTTTATTAATAAAGTAATATTGAATTTGATTAAAATTCACCATAATACATTTTGAAATGAACATATGGCAGAATTGTTGTCTTTTGCTATTGAATTTATAAGTTAGTTTTATAAATTCAAATTAAATTTTTCAAATTACTTTAACTTTTTCTCATGATAATTTTTCTTATAGTTTAAATAAATAAATAAATATTCAAAATATTTTTACAAATTAATTCTAAATATAGAATTTACAATTTTAGAACTAATTTTTCTTCATATTCAAGATGAAATCATTATTTATTTAATTTTAATTAAATATTTAAACAGTTATTAATACCTTTCCATTTGAAGGGAAACAGAAAAACGATCGAGTACATGTAAAATGCTAGTTCCTCTTAACTGAGCAAATCTCCAATTATCTTTCATTTGACTGACTAAGACTTGCATATCACTTAATTTCAAAGTATATCTAAAAAAAAAAAAAAAATACTAAAATTTAATAAAAAAATATTTATATAAGCAAATGATTAAAATTACATAAACAATAAATATAAAAAGCTTAAACCTAATATAATTACATTTCTCTCATTTTAAGATGTTTTTTTAATCCATTTTTATTTATTGAAAATAGAGGTGCATCTGATAATCAGTTGTGTCTTAAATTTTCAGTCCAATCCAAATCAACAATCATTATAAGTAGACACACATGCCTCAATAATAAATACTTTTTGATCATATATACATCAATAATAAATGTTTTTTGTTATACTGCAAAATGGTCAGTTATTACAAATGACTGCTTTCAATTTAAATCTTTTTAAAATGTCTTCCAGTTAACATTGTGATCAACATTGATTATACAGAATGATCAGTTACAAATTAGGTAATTAAACAATATTGCCAATTTAACAGCATTTGTATTACTTTTCTAACTTGTTTTTACTCAACAAAACATATCAGAACTGATTATTTTTAAAGCTTTCTCTCCACAAAAAATATTTTTAATTTGATTTCAAAATCAGATTGTATCTTAAAATAGGAGAAACATGATATAATATCAATTTTAAATTAATAAGACATGAAACTTTAAGTTAAACATCTCAGTTTTATGTTTTGAGCCAATTCTATAAAACAGAGTTAAAATACTTCAACTATACTTGAAAAGTTATATTTATCACCATACAGAGATTTATTTATTTATTTTTCATAATATTGAATTTTTGTTTGAAACAGAAATAAAAATTTCAAGAAAAATCTGGTTTACAATTAAAGAAATCCTTCAAATTTTTAATAATTGAAATGTTTTTCTTTTGAAAATTCAATTATTGTAATGTATTAGAAACTATTCATTTTAAAGACTATAATTAACTGGAGTTATTGGGACAAGTGTTTTGATAAATAAAGAAATTATCTTTCCTATCCCATAATGTTAAATTAATTTCAATATTAGTAATAAAAAGTAATTTAAATAATTTATCTGAAATGTAATCATTAAATAAGAAGTTATTTTATTCTGAGTTCTAATTAAACATCAGTTTCATGCAATGACAGCAAAAGATATAAGATTTTCATTTAGATCAATAGCAAAAACGCTTAATTGTTTGCAATTTGATGAAACTTAAAGGAAAGGATAATTGCAAAAATTCAAATAAAATTAATTTGACTAAACTTTGAGAATGTTCAAATATACAAAATTTTAATTGTGTGGGAACTTTTTTTTTTAAATTTTAGCTGAAGCAGGAAATGATAATATCAGAAACTTTCTGTATTACACTCTGCAATTTATTTATAATTTAGGTGTACTCAGATGCATTAATTTAAACCTGATTTAAGTTCTTGCATGTAATGTCTATCACTCATTGGCTGCATTCAGCAATGAGCTTTTACCTAGCTTACATCTGCTGAACGATGAGTGACATATAAATTTGAACAGTAAACAGCCATCATTGATCAATTGCCGCTAACAATAGGTAACATAAATAAAAGACGCTACTAAATGTAATGTCAAAACATCAAACATGTTCCAAAACAGTGCTATTATAGAGGGCATTCAGCAGAAAAATATTCAACAGTTCTGGAACTGTTGAATCTGCTGAATGCAGCCATTGTGTGCAAAAAGATGATATCATTTTGACACATCTTCACATTACAGAGTTACAAGAAAAGCTATTATATAAATCAGTTCTTACAATACAATATTAAGTTTATTGTTGCATTCTTTTCAGCTATGTTGATAGACATAAGTGCTAGACTTTTTTCTATTGCTTGAATAATTACTGATTTATACTATCTCAACAGTAAAAGGTCTAAACGTAACAACAAAAGCTGTAGATAACTATATCTAAAATATTTACTAACAAAGCATAATCTTGTGAAATGACATTAACCTATTCAATGTTGAAATTTTTATTTGTTGCCTGTGACACCATGTTGAATTTTTGTCACTGTTAAGCCTAAAATTTTTTTTAAAATAATAATTGTATTTACTGTATCGTAAAAATTATTTTTTTATGTTTCACAAACAAAATAAATATATTGAATAATATAGAAACAAAAAAAATTATATTTTAAAAGTTCATTTTAATATAAAAATTGTGACGCATAGCGACATCTAGTATCAAAAACGTTCCGATGTAAACACGAAAATATTCGGGATTGCCCACACAGGTCAATGAGGTCAACACAAATATTTTCAGGAACAACATAGGACAGGTTAATACACACCTTAACAAGAGTACAATGCTTATGGAAAATAAGCGAGAGATAATCATTAACACACATCTTATTGGTAAGCAGGTGTTTGAACTGCTGCCACAAAATGTAATTTCAAATTTGATGATGTGATGAGAAACCATGGAAGGTCCTTTCACAATTTGACAAATGTGTGCACAATTTTGTTAGTCAAGTGAATAATTTTATTTGCAAGAATGCTAATTAAATCAGGTTAGCAGTAAGTGGGAGCCTCACATTTGCATCAATATTTAGTCAAAAACAAAATTTAACTCACTTTTCATAAAATCTCTCCCTTAATGATTCTTCTGTAATTGATTTAAGATCTGAAAATACTTGATCACTCCACTGAGAATCTGTTTCACTTATCCCTTCTTCATTTAATTCATCTTTGGGAGGTGTTGAACAAGGTGTAATAAAGTCTAAGAAAACAATTATTTTAAATTCATTTAGACCACATTTATTTGATCTTCCTATTAAACAGTTGAGTCAAATAATAGTAAAATATTTATTATACTGAAAATCTAATTATTATAAATAAAAAGTACAAAAAAAAGTTAATTACAAGTTTAATATCTAATACATGAAATATGCTCTAATAAAACATTTCTGTAATAAAGAGAGATATATGAACAGAGTTTCAAAATTGAGAGTAGATAAATACATCAAATTTAAATTTAAGTTATATAAATCTAGTTACAATTTCACTTCATAGAAATTAAAGTAGATAAAAATCAAATTAGTTACTGTGAAATAACTAATTGTCCACATAATTGTCCATGCAAACAGTTTCATTTAATTACACATTACTTGATTAAATACTCATGGGCAATTAAATGAAGTGTTTTTCTTTTAATACCATAGTATCATAAAGACCAGTTTTCACTATAAATATAAATATACTAATAAATATAAAACCAGTTTTCACTATAATCTATACAGATCTATTTATATGTGTAAGTCCAACAAAATGGATCTGTATAGTGTTGTCTAGCAACAACCCATTTATAGAAGTTAAAATCATAAAACTGGATAAGTAGACTTCATATGGATAGACATCATCAATCAACAGCCAATAGGGAATATTTTCTGTTTGAAAGTTATGGCAGCTTGTACTGAAAAAACCTGAACTGGTGAAAAAAATCCATTTTTATAAGATCAATCTTTGGAGAACATTACAATAAAATTTTAAAAAATAAGATAAACAGTTTTGAAGAATTAAAAACTGATGGTAATTAATTCTAATGTAATAAAACAGGAATGGAGAAGTGGATATATCATAAAAACAGTCTAGAAAAAAAATATAATTTATCATCAAGTGATAACAGAAAAAAACCAGTCATTTCTTTCAATTGTCAAAAAATAACAAAATGGAAAATTTGAAACAAAAGTTAACTACTTTTATTACTCCAGACTAAAGTTAAAAAGAAATTACCTTTTCTGATTATTCTTATAACAGCAATACCACTGCTCGCTCATAAGAATTTACAGTAATACGTGTTAATACATGATGTGTACAAACCATCAAAATAAATTTAAAATTTGTCATTGGAAAAGAAAACAAAGACTAATCTCCTGTTGGATTCAGGCCCCAATTAGTTGAGATTAGCAAAGTTCTACTGTACAGTACATCACTATAACATATATAAGAGTAATAATTGAGACAGACTATAAAAACTATTTATAAAATATAAAAATTATCAATAAACTTAATCATCCTTATCACAGTTTTTCATATTAAATCTGTAAAATTTAATATATAATTATAATAACTTTGTAATTAAATTTTATTTCAAATCTTTACCTTCTTCATCATCAGAAATGCTCATATTTTTCTTTTCTGTTACATAACTAGTATTATAAAAATGAAGTTTTCCTAGGTCAAATACCACCTAAAAATTGAAGTAATTTTTTTATATTCATTCAAAGAAATATTAAAATTCAAAATAAACATTTTAAAGATTTATTTACCACCATTCCATTTTCATCTTGAAAATTTTCAGGAATGATTATTTCAGGAGCCGAAATTGCTAAATTAATTTCCCAACTTGTTTTGCCAAGCTAATATAAAATAAAATAAATGAGCATAAATAAAATTCAATTCATTTAAAATATAAGCTGATTTAATTAATTCAAATTAAAAAATATAATAAAATATTTATACACACAGTATATATGGATAAATATCAATAATAATAAGTAAAATACAAATTACTAAATTTTTAATATGCAAAGACAACATATCAAAATTTCATCAATCTTGCTGTGGCAAAATAAATCTAGCAAATATTATAGAAGACAGTTTCAATTATTATAACCAAACTTTATTTAATAAAATTTACATAATATAAAATTTAGGGTTGTTGTGATCTCTGCAAGTGTTAGTGCATTTACAAAGCTTTACTTACTGTTTGTTAGAGACTGTGTTACAGTATAATGCTATGTTTATTTTGAAGTTACAAGCTGTTCTTTTGGATAATTTTATACTTTTTATTAATTCAAAGTTTTATTGAGAATCCACATCTGCATACCACACCGGGATAACAATAAAAAACAACTTTCTACAACCATTAACTAGNTTAAAATATAAGCTGATTTAATTAATTCAAATTAAAAAATATAATAAAATATTTATACACACAGTATATATGGATAAATATCAATAATAATAAGTAAAATACAAATTACTAAATTTTTAATATGCAAAGACAACATATCAAAATTTCATCAATCTTGCTGTGGCAAAATAAATCTAGCAAATATTATCAGAAGACAGTTTCAATTATTATAACCAAACTTTATTTAATAAAATTTACATAATATAAAATTTAGGGTTGTTGTGATCTCTGCAAGTGTTAGTGCATTTACAAAGCTTTACTTACTGTTTGTTAGAGACTGTGTTACAGTATAATGCTATGTTTATTTTGAAGTTACAAGCTGTTCTTTTGGATAATTTTATACTTTTTATTAATTCAAAGTTTTATTGAGAATCCACATCTGCATACCACACCGGGATAACAATAAAAAACAACTTTCTACAACCATTAACTAGTGTGAAGTTAGACTAAGCAATAAAAAACAAATGTTTTCATAACTCCTTCTGGGCTCTTCATCAGGTTTTCATCAGGGTGTTATGAAAACATTTGTTTTTTATTGCTTAGTCTAACTCACACTGGTTAGTGGTTGTAGAAAGTAATTTTTTATTTATTGAGAATCATCCTGGTCCTATGTCTATGTGAGAGCCGAGACTTGACAAAAATTTTTGAATAAAAATTTTTCAAAAGAGAAAAAAAATCAAAAAAGATATGATTATCTTTTCCCACAGATTAGCTTCCTTGTCCAGAGATGACACATCTTCTGAATGTGTGTCATGAGGAACCTAACTAAAAAAAAATTGCTATTGTACACAGACTTTAAAATTACCAAAAAAGGGCAAGTGTAGTGAGGGGGAAGACCCCCAAAATAAAAGAACAGGATCGATGATGACAGCAGAGTTCATCAGTCATCTCGAGTTGTTTGAAGAAAGTTCGCTTTTTCATTAGTTGCCGGCCTTGACTCCCTTGGACAGTTCCCTGGTTGTTCAATTTGTTTAAGACATTGGATAACTGACTTTTGGATTTATATCCACCTATACTGAAAGTTATTCCATCCAAGGACAACCTAACAATGATTGGCTTAGCTACAAACTCAATGAATATCTCCAGCATCATCTGCAACATTTCTAGGAATTCCTCAAAAAATTTCATCTGTTTGGAAATTCCAAGGTATTTATCATCTTGCAAATGAGTGTGAACTCTCTCTCTCACAGCTAGGGACCTAATACAATAGCCTTTTTTATATAAAAACTTATCCAATATTTTATGCTGTATGAAAACCTTATTAAACATATCACACTATATAGCTAATGCTAGTTTGTAAATATCTGTAAATTAGTCTACACAATAAAACAAGTATTTGTTTAGAAATGCTGTAGTTGAGTGCACTTCTTTCTTTGGGTGCATTGTCTCCTGGACAGTCTCCATCCTGAATCCGACCACCTACATATGCAACCGCTCACACAAAAAGCAAACTTAATGGCCATCAAGGTTTCTTTGTATGTCTAGAAGATGCAATGGTAACAAAATCCTGATGTGGCATCAACAAAGTAGTGCTGACCCTTCGGTCATATGGTGCCGAAGGATAGGGGGTGCTTTGCACATTGTCGCATCTAAGACTTCTCCATCAACCAATTCAAAACAACAACTGACCTTGGTTATGAAGAAACAACATTTGCCAAATGACCCATCTCCCAAGATGTCTAGAATTGAAGATTATTTTTGGAAATCTCAGAGAATTGTTGAAAAGACATTGTTGCATTAAATAGGAAGTTACTTCACAAGTGTGAAAAAAACTTTCAAGCATTAAAACAGAAACTTAATAATTTTTCAACTGAATTTAACACAACACAGCACAAATAAAACAGCACAAATTTAGAACAACATTGTTAGAATCTAAGTTGAAGGAAAACAACAAGCAAATGAGAAATTAAGAATAAAACTATTGAATGATTTTTTTCAAGACAGTTTACTGAATAAATTAAAATGGATAAATATACTAACATTTGGCTTAAAAATTGAAAAGTTTAAGCTTTGGGAAAAACTAGATTTATAGAAAAATTATTAGAACAAGAAAAAGGTAAATTTTTATATTTTAAAGACTTAAATCTTAGATAGAATTGAATTAATATTAGTTTAATATCATCACCTTTTAAACCATAACCTTGAAAAATAAAACCTATTCATGTTTCTAAGTAGAGAAAAAAAAATTTATATAATGATCTGAGTGAAGTTAGAATATTTGGCAGTTTGTCAATAATTGCATAAAAAAAAGAATGAAATTGGTGTTATTTTTGATAATATTAGAAGGCAAAAATGGAGAACAAATGGACAATTCTTTGAAAATACATTTTGACTATAAATGGCAAAATGCTTACATATGACTTGGAAATTGAACAACTTTTAAAAATTAAGAAATGTTTTAGAGTTATGGATAATAGAATGACTAAAACAAATGACACAAGATGTGTTATCATTATCTTGTAATTTTCAAGGAAAACTTTTATCAGAATTATTACACCCAGACACAGTTAAAAATCTTAATTACTACAAAATTTTGGCCTTCCAGGAGACATGGATTACCAAACTGTTTAAAATAACTCTGAGTCTAGAATTTTTGTTAACTATACAATATATGAACAATATGTAAAGGTTCCTTCTCACCAGGTACTGGTTCAATATATATAAAAATCGATTCACAATAAACCTTTGACCAGTAAAATATTTATTTGAAAAACAAACGTTTTCGACCGTATTCTTCAGCCTTCTTCAGGTTAAACATTTCGAGATTCGACAAGCCATTATGCTTACAGATTTAAAAGTTTTGGAACATATTCAACTCATTATGAGCATGCGTATCAAGCATTGCATAAACAAAATATATTTAAACAATCTTATCTAAACAATCTTATTTTACACGCACATGAAATGTTAGAAACACCTTAATTAGAGTTGTGGGGGCCAAAGGTGTTTCTAACATTTCATGCGCGTGTAAAATAAGATTGTTTAGATAAGATTGTTTAAATATATTTTGTTTATGCAATGCTTGATACGCATGCTCATAATGAGTTGAATATGTTCCAAAACTTTTAAATCTGTAAGCATAATGGCTTGTCGAATCTCGAAATGTTTAACCTGAAGAAGGCTGAAGAATACGGTCGAAAACGTTTGTTTTTCAAATAAATATTTTACTGGTCAAAGGTTTATTGTGAATCGATTTTTATATATATTGAACCAGTACCTGGTGAGAAGGAACCTTTACATATTGTTCATATATTGTATAGTTAACAAAAATTCTAGACTCAGAGTTATTTTAAACAGTTTGGTAATCCATGTCTCCTGGAAGGCCAAAATTTTGTAGTAATTAAGATTTTTAACTGTGTCTGGGTGTAATAATTCTGATAAAAGTTTTCCTTGAAAATTACAAGATAATGATAACACATCTTGTGTCATTTGTTTTAGTCATTCTATTATCCATAACTCTAAAACATTTCTTAATTTTTAAAAGTTGTTCAATTTCCAAGTCATATGTAAGCATTTTGCCATTTATAGAGGTATTTCNAGACTAATACATGAAAATTTAAGTATCTTAATGAATCAACTACATGTGCAAAGGATAGAGTTCCGTATATTTTATCAGCAGTTGCCAAATGTGTTTCAAAAGTAGCCAAAAATTGTCAAATGCTTGTTGAAAATAAACAAAAATGTGGCAAGTTTTTCGGCTAAAGTCTAATTGATATGAGATAAAATTAAGTATGCATATTTCAATCACATTTTGTTTCTCTATGATATACTGAAAGTAATTTTAAAGTATTCATAAAAATTGCCAAAAATGACCAACAAATAGTGTACAATTAACTGTAGTATAGTGCACAATGAGATTTATGTAAACAAAATTATTTCTGAAGTGTTTGTTTTCTATTGATTTTTATTCTGGAGTCATACTCTAAAATCTTGGGTGTAAGTCACAGCCTATAAGTTACCTTATCCTGGAAAAGTCAACATTCCTTTACAACTTTTGCTTTTGCAGCTTAAACATGAGGGCAGCCTAATTAAAAGCACATTTCTCACTCTATCCTATTTCTCCCACTCTTTAAATGTTTGAAAATTTATCAAAGTCAAGAGTAAAACTGTCTAATAAAATAAAATTAATGATTATTTCAATAAAGCAGTTAATTTAAAATACCATAAAACAAACAACAATAAATAAGATCCTGACCAAGTAAACTTATTAACCTAGTATTTTTCTCAAGCATTCTATATGTCTTTTCATCAATGTGTACACTTGATTTTTGCAGTCATATAGTTATAACATATTACTGATTTTATGAAAAGCTTTCATCTTATCTGACTATTTTTAAAACTAGTCATCTTCAGTACTCACATTTTCCATTTCCTTGGCATTGTGCTCATTTTTCTGGCATTTAATTCTCTTCTCCCTTCTACTCGTTTGCCACACGGTGGTAT